GTGGATTTTTGACGCGGGTCTTACCCGTGTTGAGATTGCGCTGGAACCCCCATTCCCTATACTACTTACCTATCGCACAGACACTGTAGAAAACCGAACTCCTACTATTGGATTTGAGGAAAAAATCTATTCAAATGCAGATTGTGGCTTGTTTGACTCGGTGTTAATGGCTTACAACTGGCATTTCAATCTGAGAACCTCGCCAGACGATTGGTGGTTTTGTGTCATACGAAGGGTTGCTTTGTCAATAGACGAGAACTCGAAAAATGAGGCKGTTCGTAAGAGGTTTGTCGAGCACGAAGGCAAGAAAGAACTGACTGTGGTTGATGTCAGTGTAGAGAATATCTATGACGTTGACTATCCCTATTTCTTCGATTCCATGTCAACTTTAGTGTCACGCAACGTCAAGATACCCGAATACGTGGATTGCGTGACAGCTAATTTTACAACTTCAACACCTGTCAAGAAAATCGTCTCTCAGATTACAATGATGTCTTCAGTACAAGAGTATTTTGAGTACAATATGTGTATAGGCTGTGGGATTCCGGCTATTGAAATGACAGGAACAGAAAGGGACTGGAGACAGCTTTTGTCAAAGTTAAAGGACTTGAGATCCTTGTTGCAGCCAATAGAAAAAGAGCTAGGTCTCAAAGAAAAATGGTGGGCACTTGTCCAGAAGGTATTCACCAACCTGCTGCAGACATACCTCGGAAGACCTGACAAAGCGTGGTGGGGTCACATCTTGACTTATAATTCTCAAAATGGTTCAGGCAGGGCTTTTTCAATGAATGATGATCCCTCTGGGTATTCCGGCTGGATAGTTGAGCTTCTTGAGGGGAAAGTAGGTTTAGAAGTAGGCCAGTTTAACAGCGGCATTGTCACAATACCTTTGACTATCACTTCCCCTGATGGCATGTCTGATAAGGCTGCACTAGTTTCTGGTATGGTGGGTTATACTGTTCATGGTGGGATAGGGAACAAAAGAGTATCCATTGAACCCTTTCAGGGATGGTCACTGTTGCTGAATAAGGATTCACCTTTTCGCCAACGAAAACCAAAAAACCGAAGAAAAGAATTCTAATGGAAACTATTACTTTTGACTGAATCTCTCAAGATTGTAATACATAATTATTATAGAGCATATTAGCATATTGGGTCGTTCCAGAAATTATCCATACACCCATCCCCCTCCCCCCCCCC